ATATATACCTGTGATTAAATATGCGTGTTCTGTACAGGTGATCTACATATATATATATAAACAAAGTCAAGGTATAGAATAAGGGTGTTTAAAGTTTAATTGACGAGCTTTCGAGATTACATCTCTTCATCAGGTCAGCAGACATTGGAATAGAATCAAATAATCAAAAACAAATACAATGCGTTATAGATAATAAAAAATGAATGATTCACACAATTCGCGCGTTATATATATATATATATACTATCAGACATTTGTCATTATTAGCCCCTGATACTATATGTGCCACCAACGTGATGAAGATCTTGTTTTCAACCTGCAGGACTGCGTGTATAAAGATCAACAATGACAAGTACCGAAAGGAAACTCTGGCAATGACAGGGGCAAGAGAGCAACTAGAGCAACTCGGGCAGACGATGGAAGACCTCTCCGTGCCGACGTCATCCGGTTTGTCTCCGTCATTCATTGGAAATACGTTCACTGCCGTGTAGTGTTCAAGTATATCCTCAGTGCTCTTAGCTCTACGTCTCAATCTGCTGAATTAGCGAATCGTGGCGCTTTGTTGCTAAGCGTAGTCTTTTAGAATGTCACATTGCAATGGTGATTGGGTAGAGCTGCCTGCCAATTGTGTCAAGCAGATGGGTTTATTCTCTCGAGGTGTGGTTGGAGTTTGACCGCACGATATTTGTGTTGTGTGACACACAGGGCGAGCAGAGGAGAAGGAGACGGAGGAGTATCCAGAAGTTGTGTTTCTCGGTACCGGCTCGTGCATCCCTAACAAGGCACGCAACGTCTCTGCAATAATAACACACGTCAGGTAAGAGCCGCCAGACACCGAGAAACGGCCGAGTGTCCGTAACTATGACTGCAGTTATAGTTTGATGCAAATTGACTCCCTACTTGTCCATAGGTTTGACTGCAGAGTTATAATTTGATGCAAATTGACTCCCTACTTGTCCATAGGTTTGACTGCAGAGTTATAATTTGATGCAAATTGACTCCCTACTTGTCCGTAGGTTTGACTACAGAGTTGTGTTGTGATGTAAATTGACTCCCTACTTGTCTGTAGCCTCGGCTGCAGAGTTATGTGATACAAATTGTTTACTTAGCAGCCTAGCTACTTAGCCTACTAGCCTACTTAGCTACTAGCCTACTTAGCAGCCTAAGATTTGGCTGCGGGGTTATAATGTGATGCAAAACGACTCTGTAGTTATACGTAGTTTATGTACAATGTCCATAAGAAATCTGTGGTCTCCACTTCATAGTGTAATACCCATGAGAAGGAGTGTAAACGACTACTAAACCAAAACAAAATATGAAGGTTGAAATCGTTGCTGCCTCGTGGGATGGAATCGTAGGGTGTACACAACCAATGTCTCTGTATTAATCGGGAATAACACATTCTCCCTCTGCGCTTCTTTCTCTCTCTGTCTCTCTTTTTCTCGCTCTCAGTCTCTCTGTCTCTCTTTTCGTCTTCTCTCTCTCTCTCTGATCTGCTCTCTCTCTCTTCTCTTCTCTCTCTCTCCTCCTCTCTCTCGTCTCTCTCTCATCTTCTCTCCTAATCTGTCTATCTCTTGCTCTCTGTTCTCTTTTTTCTCCCCTCTCCTCTCCTCTTTCTCTCTCTTTACTCTCTCTTGCTCTGCTCTCTCACTGCTGTCTCTCTCTGTTGATCCCTCTCTTCTCCGCCTCTCACTCTCTCTCCGCTCTCTCTGCCTCGCTCTCTCTCTCCCCTTCCTCTCCTCTCTCTCTCTCTCTTCTCTGATCTCTCTCTGCTGCCTCTCTCCATCTCTTTCCCCCCTCTCCTTCTCGCCTTCCTCTCAGTCTCCCCCTCTCTCTCTCTCTTTTCACTCTCTCCCGCCTGCTCTCTCTCCTCTTCCTCGTCTCATCTCTGCTCTTCATCTCTCTCTTCTCCTTCTCTGCCATAGTCTCTCGTTTTCCTCTCCCCTTTCCCTCCCCCGTCTCTTCCCCTCCCTCCCACGTCGCCCCCCTCTATTCTCCTCTTCTCCTGTCTCTTACTCTTTCTCATCGCACAGCTTCCACAGAGTGTCTGCTGCTGGACTGTGGGTGAAGGCACCTACGGGCAGCTCTGGTCCGTTTTCTAATATGGACCGCATCGCGGGTTCTACGGAAACTGACTGTGGCTCTTTGTCTCCCACCTTGCAATCGACCACCCACTATGAGTACAGGCCCTTACACAAGTTAGAAGATTAGGGGTGCAACAGGATCAAATTTTTTTAAGTTCCGGTCGGAACAGAACCAGGCCGGATCTTGAAAAAAAGTTCCGGCCGGATACCTGGAACGGAACCGGAATTAGCTTAAGCTGGGAAGTCAACTCTGGGGACATTTTGTAAATTGGTCAGTATTGGGCGAAACGATCTCTCGGCCTGAAACGAAATATTATTAGCAGGGCATACATTCCCTCGGGGAGTAGGACAGAATGCCATTGTTTCTATACATGTTCCTCATTATGTCTCATGTTCTCATAGATCTCAGGTTCTCAATGTCTCATGTTCTCATGGTCTCCATGTTCCTCGATTATATTATCAATGTTTCAATGTCATTGTTCAACATGTTCTCATTATGCTATGTCTCGATGTTCTCCATGTCTCGATGTTTCATTATATATCACATGTCTCAATTGTCTACATTTTCACATTCTCAATTGTTCTTATTGTTCTTAATGTAAAGTTTAAATCGCATGGAGTGTTAGTGTATGAATCATCTGCTTACAGTGCATAATTTGGCATCTTATTCGCGGCGAATTGTGGTGGCAAAACCTCGCCATGTCTGCAGTATCCCTGGTTTTAGTCGATTATTTCAACTAACGCAATAACAGATGCATCTGTGGTCTAAGAGTCCTTTCATATTCTTAAAAGAGAAATCTCATGAATCACCGTAACAATCATTGGTTCAGTTCAGTTAGTTAGCCCGATTCAGTGAACGTTTTCTGGCAAGCGAATATGTGAAGTTGTTAAACAGACTATATATTCGTCAGCAATTGACTCTATTGACGCTAACTACATTCAGTGACTGATTCTTTGGATCTTGATTGACCGCTTGTACAAAAATGAAATTAGGATAAAGGTTCGGTCGGGCGACTGTTCCTGAGGTTCTGGCCAGAACCGGATACTTTTGAAAAATGGGGATTGGCGGATAGTTTCGGCCGATCCAACGTTCGGTGCACCGTAGAACGATCCTTT